GAACTCACTGGAAAGTGCATTGTAGAGGACAACTGAATTATATAAGAAACTCCGAGTGAAACAAGCTGTGCAGTGTTTGGGAATGATGATTTCATCACGATTTCGGGTTTTAGAGTGACTCTGTATTTCAAATGTTACGTATTTTTCAAATAAATAGTGAGGTTTCTTTTGAGAGATCAATTTGTGAGTTGCAACAAGAAGGTGCAGTTGCCTAATTTTATTCAGTCTGTGCCAGCCAGATTCCTCAAATTTAGCTGAGATATGATCAAACTTCCTTACACCATAAGAGAACCGTATACAGTTGTTCTGAATTTTCCGGAGGCGTTTCATGTCCAATTGTATTATGGCAAACCCATAGATGATATCACAGTAAGATACTCTGGATAATATCAGTGCTTCGCAAAGCTTCAGTTTGAGCATGGATGTTATGAAGTCCCTATTTCGGTACAGCTGACGTAAGATATCATAAGAGTTCTGACAAATTATACTAACATGCTTGTGAAATCTGAGTTCGGAGTCTATCCACAGTCCCTGGTTTTTGCTTCCCTTTACTATCGGAAGTGTATCATTACCAAGTCGAACATCGATCCAGTCAGTCCTTTTTCGTTTCGTACCTTTCAGTAAAAGTTGGGATTTAGTCGTGTTCAGTTTCAGATTGTGAGCAGCCGACATGTGTGAGAGATTTTCCAGATCCTGATTGACTTTATGAACAGTTTCTTGCCAGTTATTTTTGCTAAATGAATAGTATAACTGAGTATCATCTGCGCAATGATGTGTACGGCAGTTATTTATTATGTTATGAAAATCCAAGATGTATATTGAAAACAAAACCGGACCAAATAATTGATCCCTGAGGGACTCCGAAACAAACTGGTAAAGCATCAGAATATCTACCATCTATACATACAATTTGCTTACGATTTTGTAGGTAACTCCCTGATAACTTAACACTGTTTTTATCAAATCCAAAATACGGAAGCTTCTTACAGAAAAGTGCATGTATCAAATGCCTTACTGTAATCAAGCATTACCATTAGAGTCAATTCATTTTTATCAATTGAATTGAATGAATCCTGCGTTATGTTGGCAAGAGCAGTTGTAGTGCTGTGGGATTCCCGGAAACCTGACTGGACAGCAGTGATGATATTATTACTATACACATATGAATCAATCTGATCTTTGAGGATCAACTCGAAAGCTTTAGAAAGAACAGGCAGTTTACTGATAGGCCTCAGGTGTGATAGTTCTGTTGGATTATCACACTTCGATAACGGTAAAACCATAGCTTCTTTTAATGAAATGGGAAAGTTGTTTGTTTCAATTGCGGTATTGAATATATGTGTAATGTGGGTGTAAGATCAACCTCTGATGCCATAGTTAACTCAGTCACACAAATATATGATCACTATTAGATAAAAACGACCATGTCTGGGAGTTATTATCGATTTGGCTAAGGCCTTCGATACCATTAGTCATGAAAAATTGCTATCGAAATTAAATAATCTTGGTATCAGAGGTCTGGCAAATGATCTAATCAGAAACTACTTCAATAAAACAGTTAAAATAGACGGTGTACTGAGCGACCCATTAGAAATTAAATACGGAGTTCCCCAGGGCACTGTTTTAGGGCCAATCCAATTTGTATTATATTTGAATGATATGTTATCCATTGATATTTCTGAAAGAATGGTCTCATATGCTGATGATACAGTACTTATAATTGATGGAGCAACCTGGGAAGATGTAATATCTCATACATGAAACGATATTGACACTATAGTAAATGGGCTTGATGATAGTTTACTGACAATAAATATTGATGAAACATCTTACATTTCATTTTGTAGTAACAGTCATAATTTTCCCAATGCACAAAGCATCAATATTCATTTAACTAGCAGAAATAAGAACATAACTTTGAAAAAATCCAGTTCAGTTCAGTATCTTGGAATACACATTGACCATAATCTTAATTGGAAAATACAATTAAAATATCTTTGTGAAAGACTCAGAGCCCTTTTGTATGTTTTTCGAACACTTCTTTCTTTAAATATACTGAGTATCAATGATTTGCGCCGACTCAAAGCGAGTAACCTAGATATACGGAAAATGAACAAAGCTATTGAACACAGATCATTTACATACATTTAACCCAAACTATTCAATCTTGCTCCTGATCATATGAAAACAGAATATGTGTTTAAGTTTTTAAAAATTTCAGTGATCAAATAGCTCAAAAATGAAAATATAACATTATTATAAACAAATTCTACTGAAGTAATGTATCAATTTTCATATATATTTTTCATCCCTACCTAGCATTTTGAATATTTTTAATTTAAGACGAGTTTGTATTTTATATTTCATTTTATCTTATATGTTATATTATATTCATCCATATTTTTATACGTTTCATACATTTGAATTCATACGTTTTATATGTTTTACATTATGTACACTCTAGAAATTTTATACTTTAGATTTTATATTCAATGTGTATTTTTTGTAGTATATTAAGAATATTATTCACTACTTTTCAGGATAAGATAATATCGACATTGTTATTACTATTTACAAATATAAGCACTAAATTGTTTTGCCTGAGTAACTCAAAATACAATATATCTTGACCATCTTCAAAGGAAACAATTTCGATATCGATGTTTCACAGACGAGTTTTCCAAAAACTTAAGTGAATCATTAATACCTATGTGTTCTCTGATAAAAATTCAATAATAAGACTCGTTTTGACAAACTTTTCCTTGTATGTTTTTATGATTACATGTAATTTAGTGATTAATAAAAAACTACTACTAGAAAAAACTACTAGAGTGAAATTTTTCAATCAGCCTATTTGCAATATATTCATTGACATATTTGATCTTTTTATCCATTAACCAGCTCGATGAAGGTCTTTTTATACTGGGATCTTAGAATATCACTCTTGACTTAGAGCAAGTAAGTATTATTTTTGCCAAGTTGGGATGACTAGCTCCCGATTTGCGAAGGCAAGGGCGTAGGTCAGTTATTTGGAAACCATCTACAGGCGTTTCCAGAAATACTGTACCACTTTCCAACGCTTGTCACTGTAAACAACTCAGTTATACCGAGACAAGAAACATTTGTTCACTTGAAAGTTTCAATAGAGTTTTCACCCCTAATGTGGAAATATATGAAGGAATGATAAAATGAATAATATTTGATACTGAAATCGAACCTTCACTGTATCAAAAAAATGTGAGGGTCGAAATTCTCACTTTCCAATATTTGTTTCGATGGGAAAAGTAGGAAAATCAATGGTCTCACCCAAGGGTTTGATGCACTCAACAACTCCTGATTGAAATTTTTCATTTCCAGAAACTATCAAGGAAACTAAATGATTTTGTTCGACACTCTCCAACTAGACTTTTCTAATTCTTCAGATCTAGGACTCCGGCAGTCTCCAACAGTAGCCACCTCAGGCCTGATTCACAGTGCAACCAGACACGTTCAAGACAATCTCCTCGTTGTGACCAATTTTTTCTATTCATTTCTGTTTTAATGCATCCACTTGTTTTTTTATTTCAGTGATTCTTTTATTTTCACTGGTTCTTATGCTTTTACAGAAGTTCATGCTTTTACCTGGCAGAACTATAATACAAGAAGACTGTTCCATAAAAATCCTTACGACTGATTTGTTTGAAATACCAAAATCAAACTATGATTTTATATAATTTTATAAACTACACCTTACGATTTGATCTCCACAAACTTCATTTCAGAAATATATCACGACATGTTTCGCTAACGGAGTAGCTTCTTCAACAGTGTAGTTGAAGTAACGGCCGAATCAATCAGATGATTTTATGTAACTCGTTTTCAAATCAATATCTATATGTACCTTTAACTTCAGAATGTATTCAAAATTCCTAATTGAAACACCACTACGTGCTCTTCATGTAGAGCCAGGCAAATTTTCTTTTCCCGCACATATAATCGATTCAAGTTCAGAACCCAGGCAATGTCACCACCTATTCCATCAGTCTCTCCAAACATATACACAGAGAAAGTCCACCAATTCACTTCTCATTCTACGTTGATCACAACTCTATGACTGAACGAAAAAAAAAGTATTTCTTGATATCTATACGTAAAATGAATGAGGATAATGAAAATAAACTATATGGACTATGAATATGTGCCAGCTTCTGATTGCTCCGACTGCTCAAAAGAATCCTGAATCGGTGAAAATAAAATATAAAAATTTATACATAACTGGTATATTGCAATAATCTACAAATCAAAGCTGACAAAAAGGGTTTTTTGTGTCCAGATTGTCTCGCTAACAGTACAAATTGAGAAGTGGAAAAATGAAAGTTTACACTGATATGAAACTACAAGTTCGAGTTCATCACATTTTTTCTCGTCAATTCCTGTTTCTCACTTCTGAAGTGAGATTTTCACTCAACAATTTTTCGAAATTTCGACTAGTGTTTCATTAGGCAGTGATTGCTTTTACAGGTGTATTCAATACATAATGAGTATTGAACACGTCTGAAGAAGTTATTGTATAATGGAACACGCATTGGAGCTCTGAAAACTGTTCAGTGAAAATCTACAAATGAAGTATTATCTCGATACGTTATCATGGATTCCATCTGATTCCAACCATAGTCAATGCTTATTAATTATTCACGAACAGGATATTAGAATGGAAAACTCAGTGTTTGTGTCGAGGGTGTGAAAAATCACGACGAAAATATAAAGTGTTGTCAGCTTGTAATCGATTCTTGATTGACTCACCTATACAACCTAATGGAGGTACAATGAAAAAACTGTTTAATTTTTTAAATTGTTCGGCACATCCATTATAAATCTTTCGAAAACATTTTCACAATACCAGAACAAAACACGGTCTCTCCACACGCGTTTCGCTAACCAAGTTAGCGTCCTCAGGAGATCATTATGAAATTTTGTATATAGGAGTGGATGTACTAGAATGAAAGAATATTTACACTCACCATGTAAATGTATACAACTGGAATTTGCAGAAAAAACCAAATCCATCCATAATCTGATATGTTATAGTAAATGCAGCTATAACCACCATTAGCCACGTAACAAGCCAAGACGCCTCCAATGGTCGAATTCACAAACAAAGTCATCGATCCTAGAATGATTTCGTGCCTCTCCAACTCCGGAGTTATCCACTTTTTGGGCTGGCATTTCCATTCCTCTGCTCGGTCCCTCTGCCGAACGTAGTAGTACCACTGAAATCAAAGAAACTATAAAAGAAGACATTTAGTGAAATTTTCCCTGAAATGTTTTTTTTTTCGCAAGATTCATTATATCAAATTACCTGAAAAAACAATTCGTTCCGATCAGTCTCAACTCCCTACACTGTAGCTCAATGGACTGACACCTATCAGAAAACAACTACCCCTCTGGCTGATACCACAAAGGGCGTTGTGGTATCAGCCGACAGGTGTCCATGCAGGACTCTTCACTGAAGTTATTCCTGCATATGCTGTTGGCGATACAACTACCGCAATAGATTTTCAATTATTGGAATACACTTGCAGTCGTCAGTGCAAGGTAGTGTCTACCATCAACATAAAGCCGATGATTTTCGATAATAGAAAATCGAATTCCTTCAGAGTATTATTACTCGAGCCAGGATGAAGCGGACAACAAACAACAGATTTGTCATCGCCCCATCTGCCTGTGAACGAGGTAAACAGCCGCATATCCGGAATTCGCCCATTTCCTCGTATAAGGAAAGGAAACTTTTTACGTATAGTCAGTGGGCATACTTACTGGCTATAAATGAAATCATCTAAATGAACAATTCGTTCAGGCCAGTCTCAACTCCCTACACTGTAGTCAGTCTTCAAGTATGCCCACTGACTATATGTGAAAAGATTCATATAATTTGCAATGTATGTATGTACACTGTATATTCAAGAAATACTGTGAATTTTCATTTTTGGAAAAAAAAAGAAATGTTATTTCATTTATCAATTTCTATTTCGTCCCCTTGAAGCAGTTCTAATATGCACATTTTGGTATGTTCTAGAGTTCTCTCAGCGGTTATGTTTATATATCCTCAATCGACGCGAAACACCGTCATAGGTACTTCAATCTTGAAGAGAAGAAAAAATCCCATACAGCCAGATCTGGTGAATACGGTGGCTGAGGCATGATTACGGTGTTGTTTTTAGCCAAAAAACTATGAACTAGCAATAACGAGTGAGCTGGTGCCATATCGTGATGCAAAAGTCATGAATTGTTTTCCACAATACCGGACGTCTTCTTCGTATTGCTTCTTCACGAGAAGTGCATACTTCTTATTGACCGTACGACCACGTGACAAGAACTCCTGATGCACTATGCCATGCTGATCGAAGAAAACAGTGACATTCGATCAAACTCGGCGTGATATTTTTGGTATCGCCTCTCCTGGGCTCTTCCATTGGGACGATTGGACTTTGTTTTTGAAGTCACAATCATGATTCATCATCACCATAACAATTTTCTACTTTCTTATATGTGCTGTGGCGTCCAGGGCGACCATCGTCATTCACATCTTGTCAAACATGTGAAAATCTTGTATCACCTATAAACTTTTTTCTGACTGAAAGTACAATCACTGTATGCAACTGTGAGTATTTTCAGTATTTTTGAACACGCAAGTCCATTTTTTTTCGCAAAATTTGATGCAAATTCTTGAACCATTTTTTTCGATAGCAGAAAATCGCCTCTCACCAACAAACTGAACATGCTAAATACCTAAAATATGTTCCAGACGAGAATACCAAAATAAAAAAAATGAAACATCGCCACATGAATAGTCTGCGAAATTTGAATATTGATCTAATTTTTTTAACAGACCTCGTACACTTCAAAGACTTCCGTCAATATAGAGAGACGCTGTGGAAGTTTAAGGCTTGGAAGATAGCATTCAGAAGGTTTTTAGTTTTAGTCGAATTTTGAATTTACATATAAACCCTGATAATTTTTAAACTAATCAGGGTTTTTATGTAAATTCAAAACTTGTAAACATAATTTCATTAACTGAAGTATATCTAATGAAATGATCTCGGGAATATATTTTTCTATCGATTTTCGTTTATTCAAGTGTCTAGAAAGTATATGATTTTTTTCTCAATAATGATATTTGATGGGTTAAAATAATTATGTAAATTCAAAACTTGTAAACATAATTTCATTAACTGAAGTATATCTAATGAAATGATCTCGGGAATATATTTTTCCATCGATTTTCGTTTATTCAAGTGTCTAGAAGGTATGTGATTTTTTTTCTCTCAATACTTATATTTAATGGGTTGAAATAATTTTTATTATTCAAAGGTCCGTATCGGTCAGCGCGTGCGGGACGCGCATCGTCCGCTTTTAGTGATGTTTTCGCCTCTAAATCAAAATTATAAATATTGGTGATAGATTTCCGGGAGGTGAAACTTTTTTTCTTTAGAAAAATTCCTCCTCTTCAAGGATATTTTTTCAAATTTCGGATATCTTTTATATTTTCCGAGATATTTGCTAGAGGTCATTTCGAATCGAATGATCCCTGGATCAAAATTTTCGGTGTCCTTGGACAGAAGTTTCCAAAAAAGGATCTTGTGGCATAGACTATTTATAGAGAATAAATAGAATAAAATGTCTCACAACTCTTTGAATTGGAAAAAACTGAAATATGTACTTACGACACACCTTTTTCGATAGGTGATTGATTTTATCTTAACTGCATCAAGATAGTGAATAATTTTGTGTATCTTATTGAATTAATATTTTCCTTGGAAATAGTCACTCAAACCGATAAAATCTACTACCGACTAATACAATCAAATAGACTTTCTGAAACATTTGAATCAGAAATGAAAAATGACTGTATATTCAGTAGTTTACAAGATATTTTCGATATTTTCTGTTTCGTTTTTGACACCCTGTGAAAAAATGTTTATGAATTTATTTTTCATAACTTATCCTGAATAAATTCACTCCGGAAGCAATAATAGTATTTGAAAAATACTCTGTTTGGGTTTGAGTAACCGTTTTCCTATCATGTCTTGAAATAACATGAAATCGTAGATAGATATTTTCATTTTATCAGCGTTCATGATGTTAATAAGTGTATAAGGATATTCACGTTGAGAAAAAAATGACGTTGATTTTGGTAATTTTGTATATCCGACATAACAATGTGAAATTCCCAATGAAATGCGTTCAATAGCAATGAAACTAGTAAAATTTGATTTTGTAAGTTGCTCAACTGATAGTAAAATTTCAGACGTTGCTGTTTTGTTTTTAGAACTAATCATTTCTTTTGATAAGACCTGCGTATATTCAATATGACTATAGCATTATTGAAACAGTCTCAATGAATAGTAGCGTCTTTAATAGACTACTTTGAAAGAGAACGTGAGAATGAAGGACGTCTACTTCCACTTACTGCTGTAAGAGACGTAAGTTATACAAGGTGAAGTTTAACTTCGGCACTTGTTTGTGCTTTGAATTTAACTTAAAATGATGCGACCCACTGACGTTCAGTGTTTGTCAAATTCTTTTTTTTTTGAAAAAAATTGAAAAAGTGCATTTCTAGATCGAATTTAACAAAAAGTTACTCGAAAAAGTTGTGTCTACGGCATTTTTATATTCATATGCCAAATTCTATGCAACTAGGATAAAGTTAACGTTTTGCTTATTTTTGACAGATATCCCCTTTATTTTAAAAAACAAGTTCGGTTAATTGTTATTCATGTATACATAACAAACTGATCATGGAGTTTAACTTTTCTGATAAATTTTTACTTATACGGACATTTTTAGAGAGAAATTAAAAATGTGCTTTAAAAATTTTAACATGACTGGTGCAAAGTTTCAATCACTTGGCTATTTTCTTAAACAAACGTCAGTACCTTCAATTTTGAANGATGACAATTAACCGAACTTGTTTTTTAAAATAAAGGGGATATCTGTCAAAAATAAGCAAAACGTTAACTTTATCCTAGTTGCATAAAATTTGGCGTATGAATATAAAATTGCCGTAGACACAACTTTTTCAAATAACTTGTTAAATTCGATCTAGAAATACACTTTTTCAATCTTTTTCAAAAAAAAAGTTGAATTTGATGAACACTGAACGTCAGTGGATCGCAGTTGGCCGCATCATTTTGAGTTGAATTCAAAGCACAAACAAGTGCCGAAGTTAAACTTCATTGAAACTTTTCGAAAAAATAAGTTTCCCATATGGTGCGCACTTTAATGATGACACTGTATATTAACGTTTATTCAGCAATTTATGATTGGTATCGAGCAGTGAATTTGCCCACTGGTTTGTTTGAAATTCATTATATTATTTTTGGAACGCTGAAAATGTTCAATGAACATCGTTGATTGTAGGTACTAACTTAGCTGAAGTAAAAATCATTGAGGAAATTTCCATTGAACCATGAAAAATAATTGATTTCATGACTCGCTAGTGTGAGTTACCAAACCGAATCAAATGTTCCTTCTGCTAATCAATTCACTCCACCCCTGTGAACGTATGCGCTTAGCATGAGAAAAAAAGTCTTAAAAGTTTACGATGGACCTTTCTTGTCCTTTCTAGCGACACATGTTTATATGTAATCGTAAAAAGGCAATTGGCACCTTTTCTACTATGTGTTTTATTTCATTCATTCGTGTGGAAATTTTTAGGGGCTCAGAAGGGAGCTTTGCACTTTTATATTTCATTTGTTTCCCGATCACTAGCTCGAAATTGGGGTTGCTAGGATCTGAATCTGTAGGGTCATTTAACTTGCAAATAAAAGATAAAATACATACCTAAAGGAGACGTACAGGAATTGGTTCAGAAGTTTTGGTGGGAGAATACAAGCAATCAAAAGTTCAAAATTAATTGTGAGAGGCATGGTGCGAGGACTAGGTAGGTAAATGTGGAGTGACGATGAGCTTGAGATCAGCAGGTAACTAGGAAACTGAAGTTTTATTGAAAAACCAGCAAATATAAATTGGAAGTTATTGGGTGAGAGTTTCGTAAAATTCCTTACACAGTGAACAATCTACCACCAAGATGACAATTCAAGGTTATGGTGCAGAATATCATTCTGTAAAACAACTCTCTCGTTTTTTTTTTCATAACCCCGTATTGATATCTGGTATAATTTTTGGAACCGGTCATCTGAGCCCCATAGGAGCGATATACCTATCACATGAAGCAATGGAGTTGTGAAATCGAGTGTAAGAGAAACCA